TCATGGATTTGTCAAATCTGCTTTTAAAACCACCTAAACTGGTGTTCATCACATCTTGTGATAGGGGCTTCGATAAGTTAAAAATGTGGTACGTGAAGAACGTTTTGTAGTTCCAACTTCGTAGGTTCTAGTATTATGAAAGAGGAAGAAAAACATAAATTGACCCACTTTCTACACACCGTGAATAATTTTTCTAAATTTAAACACCCACAAATATTATAACTTTTGCAATCTATAGAACACACAGGCCAAATTCAGATTTCAAACTCTTAATTCCAATCAGTCTCTTTTGTGAAGAGAAATTGTTATAAAGAAGGGCAGCTGATATTGCATCCCTCCATAATTAACACAAATAACAGTTACAAATCTGATGATGATCTTGTGTAGCTATTTTTCTTCATAGTCTGAAATGTTAGAGATTATTGCACAAAATAAGGATACTAGCAGTCATTTATATTTAATTTTTTATTTTTAAAAGAACATTTATAAACCGTCAACTCATTAAAAAAAAGCCATGGTGGTGTACAATAAAATTATTAAAACATCAGGAAATGCAGAACAAATAACCAACACTGAATTAAATTAATTTTCTAAAAAGGTTTGGCGAAACAAAAACATTTTCAGCCAGTGATGAAATATCAAAATTGTAGGTGCCGATCTGATTTCACTATGAACAAAGTTCCAAAGTATTGATGCCACTACATTAAAAGCTCATGTAAAATCTAAACAAATGTTAGATAACCGGGTGACAATTAGGAGGGCTTCTTCAGATGCTTGTAGTGATCTGGACTGTGTGTAAGGGACAAAGCAGTCCTTCAGTCTTTTAGGGCTTTAGATGCTAACAGTAATACCTTGAACTCAGTTTTGTAATGTACTGGTAGTCACTGAAGAGCTTTCAGCACCAATGTAATATGCTGACGCAGAGCTGTTCTGACAAAACCAGGTTTCAGTATTCTACACTAGCCAGAATTTTGAATCCAACCTCAATGCTCCATGTAGAACACATTACAATAGTCTTGTCTAGAGGTTTACCATAGTGGCTATGCTGCCCCTGGCCAGGAAAAGCCATAGCTGGCCAACCAGCTGAAGAAACAAAAAAGCACTCTGATGGCAAACATGTCTCCAGGGACAGTGCTGAATCTAAGGGTACTTCCAAGCTATGCACCTGTTCCTTCATGGAGAGTAAAGACCTGTCAAGAATAGGCAACCTGCCAATTTCTTGAACTTGGAAACTGATTACCTATGGGGTCTTCCATTTTACCAGGATTCAACTTCAGTTTACTGGCCATTATCTAGCCCATCACTGACTCCAGATGATGGTCTATAACATGCATGGCCTTGCCAGATTCAGATGTTACAGAGAAGTACAGCTGGGTATCATCACCATACTGGTGACACCTTACTCCAAAACACCTAATGACTGCTCCCAACAGCTTCAAATAGATATTTAAAAGCTACCCTGAGGGACACCACAGTGCAAACACTAGGGGACCAACAGACAGCCACTCAAAATCACTCTTTGTGAATGGTTCTGTAGGCAGGAACAGAATCACTGAAACATAGTGTCACCAATTCCCATCCCATAGAGCCACTCCAAGATACCATGGTCAATGATATCAAAGGTAAAAGCAACAGGGTGACATTACCTACCCCCGTCCCTCTTTGGATATACAGTAGGTCATCTAGCAGGACCTTCAAGGATGATTCAGCCCTGAAACTAGATCTGGATCCAAATTGAAATAGGTCAAGATAATTGTTCCCAACCAAAGAATGAGTACTTTTGCCGGGCATTACTCTCTTGATAACCCTACCCAAAAAAGGAGTATTGGCAAAATGGCCAATAACTGATCTAGGTGATCAGACCTAATGCAACTATTTAAAATTCAAACTTTATTAATAGAGGTAGAATTAACAGAATTAGTAGCATGTAACTAAAATGCAAGACCCAATAAGATGGTTTCAATTTTTAATACAGATTTATAAATCATATTATTCAAATAATTTAGAGAAAGACAGCTGCTTAATATTAATTTGCCTAACATTTTAAAACAATATATTTAATTTGGAACTAGGATGATCATTTATATAAATAATAATCGTGCTCTTAACCTTCAGTAAGTACATGAGACCAAATGTACCTTGACAGTGCTGTGGAAATATTAATAAAACTTTGTTTTAATATTCTGTTACTCTATGCTTCAGGTATTCTTCACTTATCATGGAGTATGAATTGCCATGTAATGTTTCAGGGACTTGCCTCTTAAATCTAATCCAGAGGGTGGGAAACCTATGTTTTTATTCTTAAAACTTTTGGGGTCAATAGGGTACCTATAGGTGTTACCCTATCGAGTAATACCTACTGTTGTAAGTAGTTAGGAATCAAAGTGATTTCACTTAATACTGCTATTTAGATATTGGTGATGTTGCTACAATTCTTATGGAGCAATTCAAACTCCTCCCGGGCTGGTGGGGCTTTAAAGCACCAAGGCCATTACCACATGGACAGCCCTGCCATGTATAGTGGCTGGAGCTTAAGGTGGGGGGACAGACAGTGATCTGGTCTCAACAGATTCTGGGCCAGCTCAAACCCCTCCTTCAGCACATCCCCAAAGGCTAGCAGGGCTGGCTGAGGAACACCTCTGCCAAAAGCAACCCCAGTCTGTTGCAAAGGAGTTTTGGATTGCTCTGCATGACCCAGAACCTAGTCTTTCACTTTCTTGAGAGAAAAGAACATAAATATGATCTTGCGCCTATTTTTGTAACAGTTTCAATAGCATCCTTAATATCACTAAGAACAGGTTTAGGGTTCAGTAGTACAGGTATACAAGCTCTTTTTGCACAAACTGGATATTTAAAAAACTTTTTTTTCTAGTTAGAACCTTCCTTTTGACCCAGAAAAACTACTTTTTTATCCTAGTTATTTGCAGAGTTGATGTTGAACAATACTTGCTGATTTTGCTTTTGGGTTATTTTGACCACAACTGAATCTGTAAATGTTTGCAAGCAACCTACACTCTCACCTTGGCAGGTGTCCCTTCAACCAGGCCTGTGGCTGATTAGCATTCTATGGCCTTTTTGTTTTATTATGTATTTATGTTCTCATTTTATATTTTTATGTTATGAACCACCCTGTGATCTTTGGATGAAGGGTGGTATACAAATTTAGGTGATCCGTATCAACAACACATTTTGCAAAGGGTTGCCTTCAGGAACCTTCAGGTTACCTTTTGGTGCAGGCTTTACTTCCCCATGCTTTTTAATGAATTAATAGTTTTTCAAAACATCTTGCTGTTACTTTATTTGTAGTTATTTCTTGATTTTGTAAATGGCCCTGTAAGTTGTCATGGTACCAAAATATTCTAAATAAATAAGTATCTGTGAGCTTGATTAGACTATTATTGTAGATCTTGTAGGTCTTGCATACTTTATATTGCGGACCAAGATCCTGAACACTCTTTGCAACTACAGTTTTAGTGAAAAGTGGATGTTCTCAGAAAATGTATAATTTTTCTCCTTGCACGTAGTGTGATGCTTAATACTATTCCACAGTCTTTCTCAGGGTACATTTGATCCCCAAACTGGATTGGTAATATACATCTTTTATCAACCAAGGGTTAAAGATTAAAATGATTATTATTTTTTGTGAAGCAGGCAGTTTATATATGGACATTTTAACTTTATACATATCTGGAAGCTTTTGAAACAGAGATATATAACAGTTTTCCCACACTCTCTTAAGTTCTTACCAGTTTCTGCTTTGACCTTTAAGCAAAGCACAAAAAACATTATTTGAGCAAAGCACAAAAAGAACAGAGAATATATTTTAAATATTTCTATTTATTCATTTAGAGGCATGCTAAAAGCAAAAACACTGACCAATTATGTCCCCTTTTAAAATATGAATCATAGCTTTAAATAGTTTTAGAGTATAAATTTTGATGTGTGCACCCGCTGCTTAGTTCATTGACAAATGTCTGACCATTTTATATAAATATTGTGCTATCCAGTCATACATCTTAACTAATGTGCAAAGTAACATGGCTATTGCAAGAGTTCTGCTTTCATTAAACCACCACCTCTCTTGCTTTTAAAGCTGCACTTCCTTCCTGAATTTACATCACTTTTTGGCCCTGCTTAGCCAATCAATAATGCATTCCATACATTACTATATGAGGAATCTCATGTAAAGTTGCACGGAAGCATCTGTGGACTGGAGTACGAATCCAATACTAAAATTAGAAGCTGAATAGAAACATATCTAGTTCTCTCCTGAAGCCACACATACAGAACTATCATTAGATTAACCCAGAACCAAATGAGAGGATGGGCATTGAAGAAGCAATCAATCCTGGAAATGCAATGAGTCTATGAGGGTCTCTGTCAGTAGCCATTCAGACCTCTACATCTTATGCCTCCCTGCAGCATTCTGGCTACTCTTCAGGTATCCTGTGTCACCGAAGGGGAACTTTGTCCCAGTTTGAAAACTACTAATTCACCACTGAAGATGCAAACAAATTAGCAAACAAAATTTGCTTTGATCTAGCTAAACTTACTTCTTGGAAAGCTTACTTTAATTTGAGGGCGATATAGGAAGAAAGATAGGGTATTATCTTTTAAGAAATAAAATGGCCAAGAATATTGTCTAGCAAACTTCAAAGACAGCACAATTGTCCAAAATAAGATTGTGTAATATTTGTTTTCACAGTGGTTGATCTGGTGGGAAATTCTTGAAATTAAAATATGACATTATCATCCAGACATGACAGTTCTAGAGACCATCCTGCTGATGATACCAAAGTCATGATGGGGAACAGCAGTCTTAAAACTGGGCATTTCCCATATGAAAAGGAAGACTCAGCAGTTAGCTAGAAGTGATAAAAAGCTTTTGACATAATTACATGATGTATTTCATATGAATGCCTTACTTGTTAATCTCTTAGGGCTTCTTTGAAAGAAATTTTATATAAAAGCAGTGTATTCCTTTCTCAACCAAAACTCACTTGTTTGATGCGGTCCGGATTGACGGTTGTCTGAGGCTGCAGAATGCTAACTGGTTCTGTCTTGGCCACATTTTGAGGCATTTCTCGAATCTTTTCAGCAATGAAGCCATGAACTGCATTTAATGCTTCCACTGTTCCCTGGATCAAACACACCCGCTCTGTCGTACCTTCAGAAACAAATAAAGCACATTTTTGTTGTTTTGTTTTTTAAAAATATTAGCTCTGTTCATAAATTGATTAAACTGGAGCCATTTGGCTTCACTAACTTGTGTAGAGTAGCCAATTCATAAAATTGAAAGATAATACTATATAATATAATGGCTAGGAACCAGATAGTCCCATGCACACATACAAAGTGTGCCCTTGCACCAAGGTTCGGTAGTGGATAATTCTTCAGTTTGGAGACAGCCCCTCAAACCTCATGAGATGCTGCTCCAAAAAGCCCCTGACCTAATCTGGAGAGACTTTTTAGTGGGCATGGTGATAGTGTGTGGAACATTGTACATGGCACTTTGGATCCCAGTAAATATTTTAAATGAATTTCTTCCTGATAATACACTGAATTTGTTAAATCTTTGTTCAGCCCTTGCTCCAAAAGAGTGGCATTTTAGCCCCATAACCCTCTTGTGGTGTGGGTTAGAGAGAAACTAGCCCATCCTCATAGCTAAGCAGGTAGCTGAGCTAAGGTTTCATACATTCAAACCTAATGCTTCAGAGAGTGATATACTAAATCAGTATTTACGCTGCTCAGTAACAGTCACACACACAAAATGTGTGTATCTATTTTCACATATAGTCTCTCAACATTTCCTGTTACAGCAGTTCCAGTAAGTTTTCGATTTGTAACCCCACCTCGCGCCTTGCTCCCTTTCAGAATTTTTGAGGAATACAAAGGAAAGTATTTCTATAGATTGATAAATCAAAAGTACGTCAAGGCCTATAAAGCTTTTAGAGGACAAAGTAAATTATCTACAAGGTTTTATATGATCTGAAGCTCAACCATCATTTGAGACCATAAACTATGCTGACTTCCAAAGTTATATTTTTGGATTTTGAGGATACATGCAAAGCTTTTCCTTTTCTGTTTCAAACTTTGATTTTACTACAAAACTATACCTATCATGCTTCCCTTAGTGACTCAACTATCTATCTATGTAAGTGTCATCATACAACATCCACAAAGGAAAACCAAGTCACATATTTAATGTTTAACTATTTTCTGTGGTCATATTCCTCTTGCACATATATTACACACTTGCAAATAAAGGAAGTCACATACAAAAGGATGCATTTGTGAGCACTCTTCTATGGAAATGAATGGGTAAGCTATAGCAGATGGGAAGCTTTGGGCATACAGTGGAGATTCCATGGCCAGAAGGAGATCCTTGGACCACAATGTTCATTTATACAAATACACATACATGTAGCCTTGCTCATGTTAAGTAACAACATGATCTACACTGGGGATGAGGGGACAAAACACATATTAGAGATGAGAGCTTGACACCTACCTTTGATCAATGTACGTGGTTAATTTAAAATACATGATCACATACCTAAAGAATACATAGAATCATAGAACTGTAGAGTTGGAAGAGACCACAAAGATAATCTAGTCCAACCCCCTGCAGTGCAGGAAACTTTTGCCTATCATGGGGCTCAAATCCACAACCCTGATATGAAGAGTCTCATGCTCTACCAACTGAGCTATCCCAGCACTGCTGTAATGTATCCTGGTTCTTCAAATCTGCACTATTTATTATTTACAGGTTTATATACTGCACAATAAACCAAGTATCCGGGTGGTAAACATAATGCACCCCCAAAACAGGATAAAAATACTTAGCAAACATCTGAACAGTGATACACAAGAACTAATAGTTGAAGACTGTGTAAAACAAACGTTTTAGGCAGGCATCTGAAACAAAACATCACTAGACTAGAGCTTGCTTAATAGTAATATTAATTCTTATTTTTATCTTTAAGCCACCTTGACCCACCATGGGAAAAGGCAAGGTAATAATAATAATAATAATAATAATAATAATAATAATAATAATAATAGGCAGGGTGTTCCACACATTAGGTGAAGATCCACTAAATGCCTTTTATCTTGCAGCAGTAAGCTAAACATCATGTGACACCCTTTTATGGCATAATATATGTTTGCTTGAAGTTTGCTTGTCAGGAAAAAGCACCAAGGCAAAAGCCAGCTCCAGATGGCTGGAATGCAAAATAGGATGTTGTGGTTTGCAGATGTACTGTTGGAGAAAAGGTGGAGCCTATTCTCTGTACTGAGCACCGGATGTTAGCTCAGAATGTCATCTGACCTGTACTGGAAGTACAGGGGAGGAGTTGTGACTCTCCTAATGGAGTCTGAAGGGAGCAGTTGCATTTCTATCTGCTGTTGAGTGACAGGAATAAAACATGTAAAAAAAGGACTCCTGTCTGTCTCATTTCCCCTCCCTGAGGAGAATGCAGGGAGGAAGAGAGAAGCAGAGGGTGTGTTCTGTCTCACATCTAATGAGAAGAATCTCCGGGTTTGTTTACCTAGCCTGCCGGGAGGTCGCAGACGGATGGTAAACACAGTATCTCGCTCAATTGCCTCGGGGGAGGCCAGGTACCTCTGCCTGTGAGCCAAGATACTAACAGTTTCCCCCCATTTTCAACTATTAACAAAGTACTACTTTAATATTAAAGAGACATTACCATTAGTACATAACCTAAAAAGACCAGAAGCACTGTTCAACATAAATTGGTAACCAACCCTATGGCATTCCAAAATAAACATGACTGTATTTAATGGATTTCTAAATACATTGTTTATTAGTAGAGTGGACTGTGGAAAGGAAAATGGTTCAGAAACACTAAACACTAAACATGAAAACAAACATTTGAACAATTTAGGTATTGTCGTACGCAAGATATCCTGACTCTCCTCCTCAGACTCAGAACTTGAACCATTACCACGATGGAGGTTTTGAAAGTTTTATTGATGGAATCAGTACAGCGCCCCAACATGGCGTTACTGCTTACAAAGTAAAGGTAAAGGTAAAGTGGGTGGCCGTGTGGTCTAAACCACTGAGCCTCTTGGGCTTCATGTCAGAAGGTTGGCGGTCGAATCCCCACAACGGGGTGAGCTCGTGTGGCTCTGTCCCAGCTGCTGCCAACCTAGCAGTCTGAAAGCATGCCAGTTCAAGTAGATAAAGAGGTACCGCTGCGGCAGGAAGGTAAACGATGTTTCCGTGCACTCTGGCTTCTGTCACGGTGTCCCGTTGTGCCAGAAGCGGTTTAGTCATGCTGGCCATATGACCCAGAAAGCTGTCTGTACACAAACACCAGCTTCCTCTGCCTGAAAGTGAGATGAGCGCAGCAACCCCATAGCTGCCTTTGACTGGACTTAACCATCCAGGGGTCCTTTCCCTTTCCCTTACTGCTTACAAGCAGATACAGCAGGACAAAAAACTACAAGAAATGGCTGGACTTAGCTAAGATGTTGATCTAACAATTGACACCCCCCCCCCCGTGCTTGCCTTTTGAAGAGCAAGGTGGGCACAGCTCTTTGAGTGGGTTATGTTCTCAGAATCAGAAAGTAAACGGTACTCCTTTCTGAGGCTAAGCACTGCTGCCTCCATGTCCTTGGGGACAGTGTCAGAGGAGCTGTCTCACTGTCAATTTTAATTCCAGACACCTCCTCTGAAGAGGGAGGCTCTTCAATGATGGGGAACCACAGGAGCTACAGTATGTTTAAATAACTCCTGCTGTGTGTGCTGTTTGTAATTTAAAGTCAGGCAGCTATTCTCTCTAGGTCTCTTGGCCCTTCTCCTGGATTGAGTTACTCCTGGGGTCCAAAGTTCCCCGGGTTAGCCCTCTCCAACTCATTCTCTACAGGCTACATGACACAAGAAAAAGTGGTTATTGATGTGATATTCTGTTAAAAAAGCAAATAATTTTAAGTCCCATATAACAGCACAGCACTCTTAGCACACTTGTAATGAACTGAAAGGAGGAAAAGGAAAAGAGATCAGATAGTTCTTCTATGGATCTTGGACTGCCAATTCTAAGCCTACTCCCGATCAAAAAGTATAAGGCACCTTCAGAATAGCAATAAGGCTATATACTCTCTTAACTAGTAGGCAGGCTGTCAAATGCAATATTAAATTTCATTATATAGTGTGGCAAATATCTAATTTGATATTTGATGCCACACCAACATTTGTGTGGCACTCATAATGAAAATTTAAGTGTTTTCTTTGTGTTGTGTTTAACACATTGCCTATGAAGGAATGAGGAATGATTTTTTTAAAAAATGTATGTTCTCCTTTAACCCATATGCAACTATATATATATATATGTGATTATATACTTTTTTAACATTTTGAAAAGTATATCCACAACTGCCTCCTTCCTTGAGCAGTAAATTAAATTATAAAATATGTTCCTACTGTTTGTTGTGAGGCACGTTAATAAATAAAAGTGTGTGAATTTCTCTGTGCTAGTTCAAGAGAAAACAGTGCTGTTGCAAAAGATATTTGGCAGAAAGTCTGACTATTGAAATACAAATTAACTTGATACATGGATGCAATTTCCTTGCATTGTCTCTCTTTAGCTTTGCCCTTTCCAAGCTATCTTTTTTTTTCGTACATGGAACTCCTGTGGTTTCTGTGTTAAGTGATCTAGTTCTAAACAAGTGCACTAGGGAGTCTTTACAAAGAAGTATTAATTGTCTACTATATGATAGGAAGCAATGTGGATTGATCAATGTGCCTAATGCAAGTGTTCTCTCTTGGTCAGCAGACAAAACATTTATACAAAACACAGATCAGTTTACACAGAAGATCTTGGAGCCTGACAGACAGCACTTAAAGGGATGAACACTATTGGAATAATGGAAAGGAAAGGAGTCAGAGCCAAACAGAAATTTCATTAAGCTTGGATCCAAGTGGGCAAGTATTCTGCATACTGTGTTGTTTAGAACTTGTAGATTAGTATACTTCATATGATGTCATACAACAAATTCTGAGCGCTAGAAGAAATTATTGGATGACAAAGATAAAACTGAAAAGTAAAGTAATGCTTTTGCGACAAGCAAGATAATTTTGAAATGTAAACCCAGACAAACAGACAAAACTGGCACAGTGATGTTCAGGCAGTAACAATATTTACG